AAACTCATAGTCGCCTTCATTGCATGCCTGGTCTTTGCTTCCCTGGGCCTTGTGGTCATCTTTATTTTCTCCTTCATCTGTTGCATCTGCTGTTGCTGCTGCGATTCTGGTTGTCATCATGATGAGGACGAAGACGAAAAGGTGAGCTAAGTGATTCAACGGGAATAGTACCGCCTGAGTAAATATACTTTGCTGAACATAGTTTAGTCATGGTGACACATGTTACCTTGAGTACGGTCTATGCACTTACTGGTTGTATTGCTCTAAACACGATGACAATTTTATCAACATAAATATGCAAAAACGCTCCTACTTTCTGTTTAACGTTGCCAGCCTCAACTTAATGTCACTAGAACTACGATGTCCTCTAGGTACGGAGAAGGCGTAAGGCTCGGTTAAGCATATTTTAAATCTTGGAGAAAGGGGGCATTAACAGTTTCTGAAAAGAACGTTAAATAAACGAAAGGCCAGTTGTATGGTGCTGCTGTATATTGTGAACAAACCAGAACGACTGACAAACAGTACTTGCATAATAAAGAAAGCCGTTCTGGAACATTGTAGTTTATGAAACAGACCCAGTAAACTCCTTAGTAAAAGGAAATTCAGACACATGTATTCAACTGCACTCTTATTATGTCTTTCAGTTTTCACCCTTAGAAGTGCTTCCCCAAAGACATTACTGTAATGCCTCATGTTACCAGTGATGGGCTTACTCCTTAGCTGTTAACTGAGGTTCCGAAACTTGGCGGTGTGACGTAACCTTGGCACTCATGTAGTAGAATCCGAAAAAAATAATTCAGCTGTTTTAATATTCTAGAGTTTGACTATAAGTATTTCTGGCCACTGTAAGACTGGCAGTTTCTAGAACTCCTAGATTAATTTTTGAATAGCTTTGAATAAGTGTTTTCAAAAAAATAAAAAATGCTACATATTACCTATTTGCCAAAATGCATTAGAAGTCTTTGTGTTGAGGAATTTTGTTTCATGTAATGTTGTAGGCATGTGTCCAAATATTAGTTGGGTTTCAGGATGACAGCAATGCCCAGCTTTTTAACTTTCTTGGAAATGTAAAGCTGAGCTTTGACTTTATCAATATATTGAACGTCTATAAGCGTAAGTCGAAATTTGATGCAAATATTTTGGCCGAAGCCCATCAGTCAGTCGAGGATAACTGCCTAACAGTCACAAGCTGCCAACAGACAGACGCCACTTTGTACTAAGTTACCATAGTGGATGCTGATAAAGTAGTTAAGAGCCCAGACAAGTATGTCGTCCGTATTCTGCCGCTGATTGGCACAGCTACGAGGTATGCGGCTGATCAGTGGGCACAACAGCATTTCCTGTTTTTCTTTCCGGTATATACTCCAGTTTTGAAATATCAGCTTTCTTCTTTCCTTAGAAATTAATTTTGAACATGGGGTTGATCTACAGCGACGTTCGGTTTTCTCCGATTTTCGTAACATCCGTCAATTACACTCAGCTAGACCCTATATTCACGAAATATACATTAAACAATTCCGTGGCCCAATGAACCTTGCCGACAGGGACATGAAAAGCTACAATATCAGTTTCTGGTTTGTTAGCGGTACTCAACCGTTCCTATCAAATCGCAGAGGCACGAATCCAATGTTTAACAGTTATCTGCTTTAACTATTGTAACATCTGGGTTTGGGAAGGATTGTCTAATATCGGTTACAAAGCCAGAAAGTGTCATTCTCTTCTCTCCTTGTCAAGAATATTCATTCCACTTTATTGCAATGATGCAAACAACAGAAACGTTTGCAACTTCTATTAGAAAATAAACTTTTGGATGGCTTCACGTGTTCTGATATTTCATAGACGTCTGTATGAGAGTTAGTTGATAGAAGATTGTCGATCGGAAACTCTCCCATGTACGTGCTATATTTTATTAAGCGCCAGGAGAATTAACCTAACCATAAAAATAAATCTGAACGTTCGACTTGCTTTTTATTATGCACAGTCGGCAAAAATCTCAGAACCAAGATAATTAATTGATAAATTTAAAAAAAGTTTGATTATTTTTTTTATCTAAAAATACATTTCCGTCTTCTAAGTGAATAGAAGTGACGTTGATATTTGAAGTTCCTAACGCAATACTGGACCACACTGTGCAGCCTTTTCTGTGCATTTATTTTATCCAAAATATATCCACTTGACAGACTGTCAACTTTGGCGAGAACAGAGGTCCACTGAGTTGGACCTTCTGGCCAAATGCCAAAAGATGACTGTGGGAAACTTGTAGCATTATATATTCAGCACCGTTAGGGACCCTTTCCACTCCTGCATAAAAAGATGATTCCATTAGCACACCCTGTTCTTCTTCGCTATCTGCTCTAGCTCAGTCAATTTACTCACAAAATAAAAAAGTGAACCATTTTTTAAGCTGCCCACATCTGGAGCTAAGTGAAATGTTGTCGCCCTGCAGAAGCCGTATGCGATTCGTAAGCCTGCGCCCTGGGCCGACTGCACCGTTTCGTCGTTAG